CTACTCTTTGAGCAGTTTTGTCTTGAGACTTGTCATACAAAGTTTTAACAATATTCGCATGAATTAAAGCATGAGTTAGTTAAATGCAGTTGAACTTTCTTCTTCTGATAATTATAATTTTAAATATATGAATATATATATATATATTTGTTTATTTATTTATTTATAAAATAAGGCTTAATTCATATATGAATTGACTACTTTAGTTATCTTAATATATCTTACTCATTTTCATTTGTTTATTCCATCAATAACTATCTTTTCATTTTAGTTAGACTTTGAAAATAATTTCAGTTATGCAAATTAAAAATGCATTTTGAATGGAATTATTTGTTTTTACTTCAATTTCCCAGCTACTTTTTTTAAACCTATATCATTTTTAGGGTTATTTATAATTTAAATCCCATTTCTTACCTTAAAAATCATTTGTAGCCAATAAAGTTAAGGTTTTTCATGCAAAATGTTATAAATTTTGTTGAATTGCATTCAAGATTCATCACGTTAAACTTTAAAGTTATTTAATTATATAGCGATTTTTTTTTGAAAAATAATAATGAAATTGTCTTTGAATCAAATTTAGAAAAATTGCTCCAAATTGGAGTTAAACTGCATGTAAATTAACATTATATTGCAAATTATTTATTTTTTACTTTGTAAAATGAGCTAAAATCAATCACAACTTTGGTACAATTAAAAGAATCAATTTGGAAGATAAACAATTTATATTAATTGAAAAATAGAGATAGTGACGTTTGAGATCATGATTGATCATCATATTGTGCGAAAAACGGAATAAATAAGCTTAGATTTGCAATGTTAGATCTACAAAAATTAATCTCAAGAAATCATTAAAAAATTTAACTATGATAATTTACAGAAAACTAATTGTACATATTAAATAATTCAAAGTTTTTATCAATGTTTAATGAACTATCAATATTGAAACTGTTATTTTTTTTAAAATATTAATAAAATAAAAAAATTAGCAACAATCCAAATTACCTTACAAATTTTTGTTCATATCAATGGAGCCAAACTTTTTATTACAATAAATAAAACTTTACCTTTGAACTCACCTTTATTAATTACTCTCAAATTAAAGTTGATTCTAATGGTTTTATTCATTAGTTATTTTTTTTTCCTTACACTTTTTAAGTTTTATGCTTTTTTTTTCTCATATTCGTACTAATCAAAGCTAATTTATGAAGCTGAAATAATTGTTCAACTTTTAAAGTTGCATTTTGCACAAGAAAACAGGGCAAATACAAGGGTAATACATAATTTTATTACTTAGTAACTACTGCAAATGAAACAAATACTAAAAAAATTAGCAACTGTGCATACCAAATATATCTCAAATATTAATATTTTTGGAGCAGAAATATGAAATATTAATATCTTTAATACTTTTGCTTAAATATTTCATTAGAAGATTTTTTTTCAAATCTTTCATATTAAACTTGTTGTTTTTGATTGCTAATTTATGTCATACAGAATTCAGATTTCATGAAATTATAATAAACCATAAAACTTTCTATTAAGCTCAATGTGTCAGCAAAATCATTCTTCATCATTTGATATTATTTTTTTGCATTTTTTTTTTTCAAACAATTGCAGCAGAATTTTTAGCCTACAAAATCATAATTTTTTCAAATCTATAATATGATTAATGACAAATGCTTCATAATTTTTAATAAACTAACTATAGAATGATGCTTAAAATGAGAAGTAAAAATAAATTAGGTTTTTAGGGTTGTGGATTATGTGGAACCTCATTTGCTTTTAAGTTCAAAGATAAATTGATTTCCAATTTATTTTTGAAGACTTAATTTTGATTTTCTTCATCGCCAGCAGCAATTTGAAATTTAGGAATAATTTTCTAACATTTTACAAAATAAAATAAATGCAGAATTTCGATAATACATTTTTTTTTCAGTAATACACTCTACATATAAGAAATAAGCATTATAACAAATAATGATTAATATGTGTTGTAGTAAGTTCATGAAAAATGTATAATGTCACTGAGAAGGGGCAAATTAATTAAAAGAGTGGCAAAATGATCCAATGATCAGTTTTTTGATTATTAAAAAAATCAAGTTTCATGCTGAGTTTTTTTTACACTTCAAATAAATAATCCATTTGCGATAAAGGACAAATTTTAGCATTTTGAATTCAAAATTTACTTAAATTCTTCTAAATTTTAGTTAAAACATGAAATATGCATGCACGTTTATGGTATATTTGATTTTTTTGAAAATTAAAACCTAATCAACTCATTTTTCTTGCTTTACTTATTTTTAATATAAACAAAAGATAAATTAATACTAAATAAGCATGCATTCAATCACTAGAAATTAAGTTAATTAATGTTGACGAAACTTACATAAATTGTACCATTCAAGAACTTTTTACAATTTCTGTCATTTGAAAATCGCTTTATTGCTAAATTTGCAACATTTCTGGGTTTAACTTCTTCAAAATAAATCCTACACACATACAGTCAGTCATTGCTCACTTACTGTATATAATTTGCTTTTTTTTCAAGCAGAATTCATTTACTTTTAATATCAAAATTATTCAGTTGTAATTAAAAACTTAAAATTGTTTCAATACTTTTTGTGTGAATCAGAAATATTTAAAAATTAATAAATTCGATTATGATTACAAAATGATATTGCAGTTAATTTGGTTTGTTCAGTTTTTTTCTGTTTTGTCACGATGGCTGAATCAAATATAATATGATGTGATCAAAAAAGTTATAATTTATGAAATAATTTTATTAAAAATTTAAGTGTAAAATACAAATAATTAAAAAATAACGGTAATATTATTAGTTAAGTAGTTAAAGGCAATGATTTACTATTTAAATTTTTGCACACTTGAGCAAATGAATGAAATCCATGTGAGTTGTATTGAAATAATTTTTAAGAAAGAAACTTGTATTGTCTTTTAACAAAAGGTTAATTTATATTAAAGAATTTGAAATTAAATCTAAAAATATTTTAAGCTTGAGTCTTTTATTGAAGTATTAGTAAATAAATACGATTATTATATACATCTTATTTCATTCAAGAGGGGTGTTTTTAATAAAAACTAACGACACATACAACATTCAGTTTGATGTTTACTTGTTGATGCCAATGACTTATTGAATCTAATTTGTAGTTATAATAAACATTTATGGATTATAATTAATGCTTCTCGGAAATAAATGAAAAATCCCTTTCTGGCATTTAATAATTATTTTGCTTTGGTGCATTAGTCAAAAATTAATGCATTAATCATTAATCTTTATTATATTTAACTATTACATTTATTGTATCATTCAAAAAAAAACAAGCTTCAAGTCAAGAACTATAATATTTTATTTAAAATCACTTATTTTACTTTTATAGTTTGTCAAAAGTGTTTCATACTCTTTTTTGCAATAAACGTCTAACTTTTTTTGCGTTTCTGCAACAACTGTATAATTTCTTAGAATATAAATTGTAACTTTGCTACTGTTCAAAAATGGATGCAATTATTTGTTGTAACTTACCGAAATTTGATAGTAATATGAATATTAGACATACATACATACGAGAATGAATTTGACAGTATCAAAAGTTTATTCATTATAAAATAAAAATTTGTCTCACATTTTAATAATTTAGCAAATATTTTACAAAATTGTAAATATGCTTTTTAGCATTTTACCAACAACCAATTGATAATAATATTTCAATGCAAAATAATCAAAATTTTTGTGTATTTGATAGCAATTGCAAATTTTATTGAGTATTTTATCAAAGAGAATGGATTACGATAATAGATATTTTGACGATGATTGCATGTTTGGTGGATGCTATTTGCGGCCATTTTCAAAAGTACCTCTTGCTTTATTTTTATATATTTTTCCAAGCTAAAAATGTTTTTTACACCTTATCAAATGCTTATTATATATTGCTATAGTACTTGTTCAGATATAATCATATAAAAACATAGTAAAGCATTTAAATGATTACTATATATTACTATAGTACTCGCTTAAATATAAATTAAAATAATTTTTTGTTGCAATAATTGCGTTATTTACTTTTTTTTAAATGTCAAATAACTCTTTGATAGTTTTAAAACAGATAATATTACTTGCAAATTATTGTAGTTTTATGACCGAATACATATACCGTTATCAGTATCTATTTGTGCATTTGGCGCTGTGTCCAACATTTTCAATATCATTGTTTTAACCAGGTAAGAAGAATAATGTGCGACTATTTTTTTGAAATGTTTTAACAAATAATTATTGTTAAGTCTTTTTTTTTTTTTTTGCATTTGAATGAATTTACAAAAACTACGGGATTATTACATTTCAGAAAAGCAATGCGTACTCCTGTGAATATACTTCTTGCTGGATTATCATTCTCTCAATGGTTACTTGCAACAAATTATCTTGGTTTATTAGCTGTTGAATATTACAGAAATCAATGGTTTGCTTTTGCAGTATTTTAAAATGCTGAAAACTTGTAATTAATATCTACAAAATTACAAATTGATATGCAAATCTCGAAACCAGTAGGTGTCTATTTATGATATTACAGCTGTAGACTGCCATGGACTTATCCATTTGCACTGTATCGTTTAATAAATGTCAACTGCAATGTTATATTTCATACAGGTTTCTATATTACTTAAATTGTTTACAGAAATATTGTTGCATTGAATAGCCAAACATAATCAAAATCTAATTGAGCTATGTTAAGATGTTTTATATTTATTAAAATTTTTCTGACTTATTTTGTTGCTTCATATTCAAAAAATTAATAGACTAACTTCTGATTTATTTTTACAGTTTATAAATTATTTGTATTTTATATTTTTGAATTTTATATTTTTGTATTTTGTTTTTGTAATTTATTAAATTTAATAAAATTTAATGAAATTTTGAACAGTAATCTTTAATAACTCGTTTTGTTGAAACAATATTTTATAATTCTAGAAAAAAAAATTTTTTTTATCAATTTTTTACCATACATCAATTACAAAATTGTTTCATAACAGCTTCTGAAGTAATCAAAAAGTTGGATATTGTAAAATACAAAATAACCATTTTGCACATTTAAAAAATATTTTTCAAGAATTGTAATAGCCAAATGTTTCAGTAGCATTCGCTCATACTTTACTGATAGCTATATTCCGCTATGGTGCTTTGAAATGGCCTGTACAAGCAAGCAATTATTTATATAGGTAGTTTGATTATATTTATTGCTATATACAAATAATACCAAATAACTAGATTATATTTATTGCTATATACAAATAATACCAAATAACTACAAATATATTACATTGCTTTTGTAAACTTACATTTAGTTAAATTTGTACAAATGACATAGTTCATTGTGTACCAACCTATTAATATGTAATTTATTTTAAGACCAGAATTGGCGCTTTTGGCAACGATTTTGATGTGGTTTATTGTGCCTATACTGTGCATTCCAATTTTTTTTACATCACAGGTAGTTTTAGTTTTGATATTTCTTCTTTATCTTTTAGTACATGCATTTTATGTTTTATCTATTAATTAATATATGTGAGTATTAAGCAGTCAATAAGTCTAGAAGAAATGTTTATGGTATAAGATAAGATAAAATTATTTGCAAGACCATAAAAAATGACAAAAGTTTCGCAGTATACTTTTAGGTTGGTGAACTGGAAATTGATTATTTAAATTGTTCACTAAAGCGCATGTATGATTTAAACTATTCACAAAATTCAACGCTCGTTAAATTTGTATTTTGGATGTTTGGAATTGTGCTAAAACTTATTCCATCTTTTCTTCTTACGTTATTTGTCGTTGCTTTAATCAGGTATTCTACTTTTGTAAATTTCTGTAGCGCTCTTCTTTTTACCACTCTATCTTTTTTTAAATTATTCTGATTATACATTTTAATTGTTAACGTTTCAACTGACTAATTTTATAAAAATTTTAAAAAACTGAAAGTATTGAATACCACATAATTGAAGAATTTAATATTCCCTTTCTAATAATTTATTGCTTAATTTTTAAAAATTTGCGCTTCAGGTCATTGCATACTGTTGAAAGAAAGCATCGTTTTCTGACCTGTAATAAACTCTTGAAATCAGGGAAGAATAATGAATCTTTGACATCATCCTCACGTTTTGCTAACAATATTCGTAAAACATATATGTCAACATCACGGACAACGAGAATGTTAATTTGTATATTATTTCTTTGCATCGCAGTAAGTTATCAATAAATAAATTATTGATAAGTACAATTAAAAGCAATGAAAATTGTGTTTAACTGACATATTTTGCTTTGCATCTAACATGAGAAGCGCTTGAAAATTAAAAGCTAATAATAATTAAAAATGTTCGATCAAAAAGTTGACTTTCTCAGAAAAATGCCAAAAATAATGTATTCTAATATATTTTTCTATGATTATACAGTATATTTTACGCTAAAATACATTCTATTTTAAATAACTCATTAAAAAAAACTTTGCACTTACTTCAAAGAGTTATTAAAAGAAAATAATATATCCGAAAAACATTAGATGAATTTTTATTGCAAAATTATCGTAAATTAAAAAATATTAAATACTGTCAATTATAATTAAAAAATTAAGGTTGAATTACCGCATGGTATACTTAATTTATGCACGGGTATTTATGGTGAAAATTTTGGCATACGTATCTACGATTATCTTGGATCATTTATGGAAATGCTGACACTTTTATACAGTTCTATTAGTTTTATTTTATATTGTACAATGTCTCATGATTATTTAAGTACTTTTAAATCATTATTTTGCTCCTGTCTTATTGAAAATAGCACTTTAAGTGGTCGTAAGTGATTTTTAAAAATTAAGCATTTTTAAATTGCTTGCAAAATGTCTTAATTACACAGCTATGCCACAACTATAATTTATGGAAAACTGAATCATGTAATGAAAATAAAATAAACGAAAAAAAATGCAAGTGGTCAATTCAAGATAGATTACTTAATTAGTCAGCAAAATTAGTCCAGTTTTATTCAGTAAAATCTCATTTTTCAATCTTAATTACAATTATTGTATCACGGAAGATTCATAAAGCAAAAATTGAAAATTAAGTAGTGCAAATTATTAAACTGATGAAATACTATCTAAAAAGTGCTCTGAAATAGTCAACTTCTGATATTCACTATTAAATTTCTACTAACAAGTGATAATAATCCATATGAGTGTAATTTTTTGCATATGTAAAAATAAAATTACTGTAAATTAGACAGAAATCGCAATATGAAACAAATTTGGTATGATTAATTAATTCTACAAGTGATAATATGCAATATTTTTTGATCAATGAATAATTCTTAAAGATTTTCCCTCATTGCAAATGCTAAATACTGTAGTAAGACTGAAAGTCATGAATTCACTTAAATGTACTCAAAAAATGACCTTAAAAAAAGTACCAGAAAAAAAAACGAAATGAATCAATAAGAAAAATTGGAACTGCATAAAATTTAAAAATTCAATGCAACTGGAATAAAATGCAAGTAGTGTATTCTCTCATGTATTTGTCTGAGTGTTCTTCACAATACTGTTGTTGTTTTCAGCGTAGTTCATCTGCTCAGTAAATATTTAAATCATGGATTTGAAGTAATTAAATTAAGGATTTATTAGGGAGAGTGCATCATTTAAGCATTTAAAAATTAATAAAAGCAAAGAAAAATTTGATTTGTCCGATCTAAGTGCAGTTAACGGTACAAGAAGACACGTTTGTATTAAATTTGACAATGTAATACTATTTTGTATTTTGCATTTATTGCATTGCATCTGATTTATTGTCACTAAACAAAAAATTTTTTATCAGAAAGAAAAAATATCTTTTTTCTTAAATATATTTGAAATACTTTTCACTTGAAAATAATAGTAAGTCAAGTTCTGTCTCAATGTAAATTCTTCAAAATTTATGCAAAGAAAAATCATTTCAAGATATAAGCTTTTTACATCATTTATTTTCAGAACGAAAATGTTATTGATAAAATTATTTGATGAAATCAGAAAAAAAAAATTTTTTTTTTAATTTAAAAAAAAATTTTTTTCTTCTGAATTTTAGTTACTTACTTTGAATATAGAATATCACTCATAATTTGAAGTATAGAGTATGAATTTTGCATCCAAAGTAATCTTATATTTAATCCAAACTCATTTTTTGTGCCAAAAATTATTCATTCAGCAATAATTTAAGAATTATTAGTTATACAATAGTATGCCATCTTTATTCTATCGTTTGACTTTATTTATAGCGAGTCACAATGAACAAATATGTGCTATTTTATTTTCGAATCATAGATAGCTTTATTATTCTTTTAATAAAATTTGATTTCGAATGCTGTTAGTTATTGGAGCAAATGCTTTTAATCATGATATTATAATCAAAATTCTACTAGCTAAATTTTAGAATTTAGAATTATCTTTGAAAATAATTTTAGTAACAGATTTAAAAATTTTCGTTGTTTAATACCAAGCAAAGATATTTTTCGATGATTTTTCCTTCTTAACAAAAAATGGCATTCACTTTGAAATTTGCTAGCGCAATAAGTTTCGAAAAATTTTAAAGATATTTTTTACTTATTAAAAAGAATTACTGATCAAAAACTTCACAAAACACAATGACTTCATAATAAACGTTATAAAAGGTAAAAATTGAATGAAAATAAGAATTTAAGTATTCATTTTATAAATTTTGTAACGTGTGATTTTTAACTTTTGTTCATTTCTTTTTTTATCCAAGAAATAAATTTTACGTAAACTTTTGGTCGTTTGTTTTTGCTTTTTTTTTGTTCTTATTTTCATTTAATTTTCAAAAATTATATCTTATCTACAACAATAACTGAATAAAGTAGTAAAGAATTAGTCTCATAAGTAATTCACTACTCAACACAATACTGCAATCGATGCATATGTATTTGTTGAATACTCTAATAAAAATATAAGCTGCAAAAAGGATAAATGTATTCACTATTATTATATCTATTAATCATATCCTTATTGATTTTGAGTTGTAGAGTAAGCTTTAAGCTTTAACCTTTTCAATCTCAATGCGCAACACTTATTTTAAATTGAAATGGAATGAACATTTTATATCCATTATGGTTATTCATTAAATGAAGTCTGATGGTTGTCGATAAAAAATGGTTACACAAGCCTAAATATCATAATTTGAAATTTTATACTTAAAATACTCAATGATAGAACAACTATATTCATTTAAAACGAGCAAATTAATGCAAAGGTATTAAAATTTGCTTCCTTATAGTGCAAAACAATTATTAGGAAAATAAAATGCTTATTATGATAGAAAAAATCTTATTTATCTGTTTAAATATTATTTGGTTGAATTTACTGATCTCATAATATTTTATTATTTCAAAAACATAACGACACAATAAAAGCAATAAAAAAAATTTATCACTTTAATCGTTCAGCTCTAAAATCAATTAAAATCTATAAAATTTTATAAGTGTTAAAGTAATGAGAAAACAATTCACAATATGCAAAAATTGAATGAAAAAATGATTAGTAAACCAATAATGCATATTAAGCACTTTAATTAATAACTTTGTAAGATTTTTTTAAAAACTAAATCAATTATGAATTTTTTGGTGAAATTCTTTTATAGTCAAATATAAATAATGAATTATGATTTCATATTATAAATTTATCAACAAATTGTAATTTTAAAGTCATTTGAAACTATTTTCAGCAAATTTAAAAAATTTAAGATACGTGAAAGGAAAAAACGATAGTAAAGTTGTGCATACTTTTATATGCCAAAATTAGAAAATTTTATTTGCCTT